CTCGAGAAATATATGGTGAGCTAGGGTTTAGGGTTTAGGGTTTAGGGTTTAGGGTTTAGGGTTTAGGGTTTAGGGTTTAGGGTTTGTGGGCTTCAGACGCGGAAGGGCTTGAAGGCGTTGCTGTGGCTGAGCGGCTGCTGCGAGATGAACAAAGCGCGGAGCTGCAACTTGCTGTTCCTGTCAGTCTTGCTGCTGCTGCTGCTGCTGCTGCTACTGCTGCTGCTGCTGTTGGTGCTGCTACTGCTGCTGCTACTGCTGTTGTTGTTGGTGCTGCTGCTCCTGGTCAGGGCAGTCTGCAGCTGCTGCTGCTGTTGCTGCTGGTAGTTCCGCAGCAGCGGCAGCAGCAGCTGCTGCTGCTGCTGTGCTATTGAGGAAGAGGGTGCTCCTGCTGCTACTTTGCTGCTGCTGCTGCTGCTTTGCTGCGCCTGGCCTTGCTGCTGCACGCCCGTCTGCACCTTTGTTGCTGTTTGTGCTGCTTCTGCTGCTGCTGCTGCTGCTGCTCAGCCGCCGAGCGGGAGCCTGCAGGACCGCGTTGCTGCTGCTTTGCGGCAGCAGCGGCAGCAGCAGCAGCTGCTGCACATGACAGCAGCAGCAGAAATTCCTGTGTCTCTTTTCTTTGTGGAGACCCTTTACCAGCGCTGGCTTCGTGCTGCTCTCCAGAGACACAGCAGCAGCAGCAGCAGCAGCAGCAGCAGCAGCAGCGAGGGCGAAGACGACTACGACCTGCAGCAAATGCAGCTGCAGCTTTACCCCCCTCTTGCTGCTGCTGAGCAGCAGCAGCAAAAGTCCCACCTCTCAGACATCGCCCGTAAACCCTTTTATTTATCTTTTTTATTTTTTTATTTTCCTTTTATCTATTTTTTATTTCTTTTTATTTACTTTTATTATTTCTTTTTATTTCTTTTTTGTTCTTTTTTCTCTTTTTTGTTTTTTCTTTCTTCCCCTTTTTAGTGTCCCCTTCTGTCTTTCTGGACCCTTTTTGCTTCTGCTATTTAGGGTTTAGGGTTTAGGGTTTAGGGTTTAGGGTTTGGGGGTTAGGGTTTAGGGTTTAGGGATTGTGGGTCTGCGACTACTGCTGTCCTTCTTTTATCTCCTTTTGTGTTTTTTACTTCTGCAAGCACACGAAGCCTCGCCGCTGCTGCTGTTGCTGCTGCTGCTGCTGCTGTTGCTGCTGCTGCTGCTGCTGCTGCAGTGTCTCACACCTTCGAGACGAACATATGGCAGCGGCTGCACCTGTCTCTTGTCCTCGGATCTCAAGTCCTCAAATCAGGTGCTGCTGCTGCTGCTGCTGCTGCTGTTGCTGCCGCTGCCGCTGCTGTTGCTGCTGTTGGTGCTACGGCTGCTGTTCGTGGCGTTACTGCTGCTGCTGGTCTTGCTGCTGAGCTGCTGCTCGCTTTATAGTTTTGCTGCTGCTGCCACTAGCCTTTGCTGCTGCCTACTGCTGCTGCTGCTGCTGCTGCACTTTCTGCTTCTGCATCCCTTATCCCGTCCAGCTGCCTCTCCACCTACTCTCGTATCCTTGCTGCTGCTGCTGTTGACCATCCTGCTGCTTCTGCTGCTGCTGCTGCTGCTGCTGGCCCTTTTGCTGCTCCTGCTGCCGAGTTTGCTGCTCGCACTTCTGCTGCTGCTGCTGCCTCTTTTGGTGCTTCTCCCGCTGCCGAATTCGCCGTCCTTTTGCCGTTGCTGCTGCTGCTGCTACCACATTTGCTGCTGCTGCTGCTACCACATTTGCTGCTGCTGCTACCACACTTGCTGCTGCTGTTGCTGCTGCCACACTTGCTGCTGCTGCCCCGTTTGCTGCTGCTGCTGCAGCTACCACACGTGCTGGTGCTGCTGCTGCTGCCACCTTTGCTGCTGCTGCTGCTGCTGCTGCTGCAGGCGCTGGGTTGTTTTTGTGTTTCATGTCTGGAGCTCTTCAACTTTCGGAAAAGTTTTTGGCGGAAATTTCTTTTGCCCTCAGACCTCTCGTTGGTTTTATTAATTTAATTAATTTGATTAATTTAGTTGAATTAATTAATTTAATTAATTTAATTAATTTAACTAATTTAATTAATTTAATTAATTTAATTAATTTAATTTAATTTATTTGATTAATTTGCTTTATTTAATTGCTTTGTTTGCTTTTGTTTGGCTTTTGTTTTTTGTTCATATCTTTTTTGGATCTTTTGCTTTATGCAACTTCATTTATAATTATTTTATTTATTTTTATTTTTATTTATTTTTATTTATTTTTATTTATTTGTATCTATTTATTAGTTTGTTTGTTTATTGTTTATTTATTATTTGTTTATTATTTATCCATTATTTCTTTTTGTTTTTATTTCTCTTTTAATGTCTATTTTTATTTTTGTTTTTATTTCTTTTTGTCTTCTTTTAAATTCTTTTTTTTGTTTTTTATTTTTTTTTCTTTAATTGCATTTGCTTCCTCTCTTTAATTCGTTTTTTGTCTTTTTGTCTTTCTTTGCTGCTGCTGATTTATTTATTATTCATTTATTTATTTTTGCTGCTGCTGCTGCTGCTGCTGCTGCTGTGCAGTCGTCGTCTTCGATATCCATATGCCGCTTCGGAGTGACGCGTTCTGCTGCTGCTGCTGCAGCTCCTGCTGCTGCTGCTGCTGCTGCTTCTCGGGTGTCTGTACACACTTCAGTTGAAGACATCTTTGCTTCGAGGCTGCTGCCTTTTCTTTTTTATTCTTTTTACCGTTCGCTGCTGGCGCTGCGGTGGCTAGCTGCCAAGTTGCTGCAAGACCTCAGCAGCAGCAGCAGCAGCAGCAGCA